CTGGCCCCCAGTGATTTTTTTTTTTTTTTTTTTTGACAGGCAGAGTGGACAGTGAGAGAGAGAGACAGAGAGAAAGGTCTTCCTTTGCTGTTGGTTCACCCTCCAATGGCCGCCACAGCCGGCGCGCTGTGACTGGCGCACTGCGCTGATCCGATGGCAGGAGCCAGGTGCTTCTTGTCTCCCATGGGGTGCAGGGCCCAAGGACGTGGGCCATCCTCCACTGCCTTCCCGGGCCACAGCAGAGAGCTGGCCTGGAAGAGGGGCAACCGGGACAGAATCTGGCGCCCCGACCAGGACTATAACCAGGTGTGCCAGCGCCGCAAGGCGGAGGATTAGCCTAGTGAGCCGCAGCGCTGGCCCTCAGTGATATTTCTATGAGTTTGTTGTTCATAGGTGAAGCATCACCAATCATGCTGAGTCTAATAAAATTCATTTCTAAATACACTGGCAAGAAGATAAAATTATTTTCAAGTATCTTATGGGGGCCGGGGCTGTGGCGTAATGAGTAAAGCTGCCACCTGCAGTTCTGGCATCCCATATGGGCGCTGGTTCGGGTCCCGGCTGTTCCACCTCTAATCCAGCTCTCTGCTATGGCCCGGGAAAGCAGTGGAAGATGGCTCAAATCCTTGGGACTCTGCACCCGCGAGAGAGACCTGGAAGAAGCTCCTGGCTCCCGGCTTTGGATCAGCACAGCTCTGGCCATTGCAGCCAACTGGAGAGTGAACCATTGAATGGAAGACCTCTCTCTCTCTCTCTCTGCCTCTCCTCCTCTCTCAGTGTGTAACTTGACTTTCATGTAAAATAAATAAATCTTTAAAAAGTATAAAAATGAATATCTTATAAAAGTGTAACTTTTGTGAATTATCTTGGAGATGTAAAAAATGACATCTTAGGTCCTTGTGCTCCCTCCTGTCATGTTCTGGGCATCTTTAGAAAGTTAAAAATTATGTAGATGATTAACTCTGGAAAATATAAGAGTAGTAACACAAGTAAAAAGATGCATTCTATCCCAGAAGTTGGAAACTTATAGAGCATGGCCTATATTTCCCTGTGGTGTCAAGCCTACTTTGAACTGCAGAAAAGGTGAAATCCAGATTTTGATTATGGGAATGAGGAAGATAACAATGAAATTGGTTGCTGAAGAAGGAAATAAGTCAGGATTTGGATCAAAGTGTATTATTGGTTAAAAGTATAGAGACATTTTTATACATCTTACATATTTTATTTTCTATAGTATTAAGAATTTTCAAAGAACATCTGCTTTATGAAAGATTATTGTAAGAGGAGAAAATATCTAATGAACACATAATGTTATGTGCCATGTTATTTGCTATGTTAGGCAATGGAACTCATCTGGTTGAGTTTTATGATCAAAGAAATCAAGTTGACATGAGCTAACTCGAAAGAACATCAAAAGACATGCTGTATTGACACTTGGCTCTTTTTTGGTCATATGAGCAACTCTCAAGTTATTTCTGTTTTACAGATTAATGTGAACTCAGGTGTACCAAGCTGAGTCTTTTAATGGATGACAAGTGGGTGGAACCTGCAACAAAGTTTGTTTGAAGTTTTTTATAACTCATCTTAGTTATGGTATGGTGGTTTTTGGAAATTATGGGACAATTTTTTTTTACAGGCAGAGTGGACAGTGAGAGAGAGAGAGAGAGAGAGAGAGAGAGAGAGAGAGAAAGGTCCTCCTTTTCCGTTGGTTCACCCCCCAATGGCTGCTGTGGCCGGCGCTGCAGCCAGCGCACCGTGCTGATCCAAAGCCAGGAGCCAGGTGCCTCTCCCAGTCTCCCATGCGGGTGCAGGGCCCAAGGACCTGGGCCATCCTCCACTGCCTTCCTGGGCCACAGCAGAGAGCTGGACTGGAAGAGGAGCAACCAGGACAGAATCCGGCGCCAATTATGGGACAATTTAACATAAAATTCCATAGTGTTTACATTACATATAGCCAAAACCGTGGCTTAGAGAGAACCATGTCATACAAAATAGTAAAGTTGTCATTATCTAATAATACTGCCATCTACTCAACCATTATTTGTCCCACAGACCTGTACTGAGGGCCTATCCCAGTAGGCTATGTTCTTTTAGGCTTAGCTACTCCCTTCCTGGAGTTGAGGAGAGAGTGAATGAATGGATGATAAGACTATTGAAAGGGCTGGGTGGGAAATACAGACTTTTATTCTGTCTGGATGGATATGTCTCCAAGTTATTCTCAATCAATATGCAATTCTGTTATACCTGGATTTCTTGGTGCTCTTTGCTCTAGAGGGTTTCATAAAATTAAAAACAAACAACAACAACAAAAAGAAAGAAGAAACATCTAATCCCTTCATTTAACAGGGAACTAATTAGAAACCTAAGTGGGGTCAGCATTGTGGTGCAGTGGGTAAAGCTGCTGCCTGTGACACCAGCATCCCATATGGGTGTTGGTTCAAGTCCTGGCTGCTCCATTTATGGTCCAGCTCCCTGTTACTGTGCCTAGGAAAGCAGCAGAGGGTGACCCAAATGCTTAGGCCCCTGCACCCAAGTAGGAGACCTGGAAGAAGCTTCTGGCTCCTGGCTTTGGCCTGACCCAGCCCTGGCTATTGCAGTCAACTGGGGAGTGAACCAGCAATGGAAGACCCCTCTCCCTGTCTCTCCCTCTCTCTATAACCATGCCTCTCAAGTAAATAAATAAATCATAAAAAAGAAAGAAAACCTAAATGGATGGCTTCTGGTTCAAAGCACTGTCTGCACACCCTCCAGGGATGGGCTGAACATTAAACATTAATGCCTCTTTGATCCTCAACCATGACTGCACAATAAGTCACAGCAGGAACTTTAAAACTGTTGATGCCCCAGAAGCAGCCCAAACTAATTAAATCAGAAGAAATCTGGTGTCCTAGAAAGATTCCAGTGCTGTTTTTATTTTGATTAAGATTTTATTTATTTATTTGAGAGGTAGAATTACAGACAGGGAAAGGCAGAGATGAGAGAAAGGTCTTCTATCCACTGGTTCACTCCTCAAATGGCCTCAATGGCCAGAGCTGGGCTGATCTGAAGCCAGGAGCCAGGAGCTTCTTCCAGTTCTCCTGCGCAGGTGCAGGGACCCAAGTGCTTAGGCCACCTTCTACTGCTTTCCCAGGCCATGGCAGAGAGCTTGATCGGACGAGGAGCAGCCAGGACATGAACCAGCGCACACATGGGATGCTGACATCACAAGTGGAGGCTTAGCCTACTGTGCCACAGCACAAGCCCTATCCCCCCATTTAAGATTTTATTTATTTACTTGAGTGGTAGAGTTACAGACAGTGAGCAGGAAAGACAGAAAGAAAGAAACTCCAGTGCTTTTTAAAGCTACTGATTTAGGAAAAAAAATTTTCCAAGTATCTTTAGTTTTGAATGTGTAATAGTATTGTGAAATATTACTATTGTCTTCATTTTACATATACATATACATGTGCATATATAATTGATAAGTATTTGGCAGGCCAAAGTACACAGGACAAACAAAATTAAGTATCAGCAATGTATTGGCAAAGTTTTATATCACAGAGGAAAGGAAGTGCCTCAAGAAGCAACAGCCCTGGGACTGGTGCTGTGGCGCAGTCGGTTAATGCCCTGGCCTGAAGCGCCCGCATTCCATATGGGCGCCAGTTCTAGTCCCAGCTGCTCCACTTATCCAGCTCTCTGCTATGGCCTGGGAAAGCAGTAGAAGATGGCCCAAGTCCTTGGACCCCTGCACCTGTGTGGGAGACCTAGAAGAAGCTCCTGGCTCCTGGCTTCGGATCAGCGCAGCTCCGGCCATTGCGGCCAATTGGGAAGTGAACCAGCAGATGGAAGACCTCTCTCTGCCTCTCCTCTCTCTCTGTGTAATTCTGACTTTCAAATAAATACATAAATCTTTTTTTTTTAAAAAAAGAAGAAGCAACAGCCCCGAGAGGGCTTGGAGGATGTTTTTATATATTCTGGTTTATGGTTGCATAAGCTCAAGCTAACAATGGTGTCTTGCAGGTCTTGCAGTGTCTTGCAGTACATGCGTCAGCCAGGGAGGAAACTCTGCACCAACCAAAGTGGTGATCTCAGGGTTGGGGTACAGGTAAAGCAAGATGTTTTGTTCTGAGGAAGTCTCCGAGGCAGCCAGGTTTGAGGAGCTCCTATAAAGAGGTCTCAAAAGGACCTTAGTTGACTGTATGTAGCATTTTGAATTGAAGAGGTCCTTTCTTCCCTAACATCACTTCCTCTTCTCTCTGGTGAGTGTTCTTATGGATGGCGTGATCATCAGTCTTCTGTAAACACTTCCCGCTGAGTGAGGTCTTCAAGCTTTCGTCAGTAGAGGGGAGGAAAGTTGGGAGGGATTGGTTGATAGTAGATACCTTGGCACATCAGTTCTTGATTGCACTGTTGCCTTTGTAAAGCTTTCCCAAGAGCCTGGACCCATCCTTGGATAGAAGAAAGTAGGCAATTTAGGAGACAGGATCGCAGGAGAAGGAAGAGGAGGAAAGCTGCTATCGGGCTTCAAAAAGGGGTTAGCGGCGCCGGCATCCCATATGGGTGCCGGTTCAAGTCCTGGCTGTTCCACTTCCGGTCCAGCTCTCTGCTGTGGCTAGGGAAAGAAGTAGAAGATGGCCCAAGACCTTGGGCACCTGCACCCTTGTGGGAGACCTAGAAGAAGCTCCTGGCTCCTGGCTGCCGATCAGCACAGCTCCGGCTGTTGCAGCCAATTGGAGAGTGAACCAGCAGATGGAAGACTTTCTGTCTCCCTCCCTCTCTCTCTCTCTCTCTCTCTGTCTGCCTCTGCCTCTCTGTAACTCTGCCTTTCAAATACGTAAATAAATCTTAAAAACAAAAGTGGAGTTAGCCAGGAGAACTGTGACCAAAGGTTGGTCTTGAAACTCCAACAGTCAGAAACCCCTGAAAATGCTGTTTATAGAATTCATTGGCACTTTTGATAATATTTTTAGGTTGGTGTGTACCTTACAAAACTGATTGAAAAAGCAATACTTTCCTTCTAGCATGCGCAAGTTCCCCCTCAATTAGCAGTCAGAAGGTCCAGTAATACTACCCCCTACCATGGAGGTGAGCTGCTCCTGCATGGAGCTGACCTTGGCTGCTAGGTCATCACTTAGTTGGCTTAGCTCAAGTGAGAAGTACTTGGCTGCAAATATGGAATTGAAGAGTCTACCCAATCTTGGACTATTCTCACCAGGATATCCACAGCAGCTGTGGAAGGTAAGATTGCTCACTTGATGTATGGAGTCTGTGAATAAACTGGAAGTGGCATATGTTCATTGGTTAATGAAGACTTGAGGGTGATGTAAGCAAGGGTGTGGGTCCCAGTCTAATTGCCTGGGAAGCTTAAGTAAGTGCTGGTTCCACAAAGAAGTAAGTGCGATTGAAGGGATCTAAACATGCATCAACATTTATGTTGAAATAAGCCTTAGATGGGTAATGTGAGGAATCTTTGATCCCTTCATAAGTAGAGCAAGGGTCATCCTGGCTAAAGAGTGTGAACAGGCTGCTGTAGGAGACAGGGTGGAAGGATTGTATGCCCATGTGAAGGACAGATTGGTGGGATTCTGTCATATTTGATGGTTCTTAGGGTATTGTAACCTCTTGCAATCAGTTTGCTTTATGCTGCTTGGTCCAGAGATTATGGCCCTTGAAGGGGCAGCTTGGGTGAGGACCTGGGGAAATGGTGATGCCCAAATAACTTAACCTCCAGGTGGTGATGAGATTGTGAGGCATCAGGAAGAATAAATTCTAAAAAAGGGACTCTGAGTAACATGTATATGGGTAATTGGGTTGGTCACTGGTGACAAACTGGACCCATTGTCACCTGGGAGAGAGGGTAAAGGACTGATTACAAACCTTTAATGTTGGGAAAGTTCCTACTGGGTATCCTGGTCAGGAGGTAGAAGAGACACAAAGAAGGGCTTGTCTGGACAGACTCTGTGGAGAGTACCCAGAGACTGAATTATGGCTTGTCTTCCAAGTATCTGAGGAGAATATGGGATGGTGGACTTGACTCTGGGACTGATGGACCAACCTGGTAAGTCAAAATAGGAAGGGGCTCCAATCAGCAGGGGAAGCTATGATTACAATATGTCTGTGCTGGGTAGGTAGGGAATAGCACAGATCCAACAATATTGTGAGGATTATTGAGTCTTTTATTGAAGAGGTTGAGGGTCTCCTGGATAGTGGAGAGAGATAAGCATGTGAAACATATGGGTTGAGAGAGGGAGAAAGGTTAATGGGATGGCTGCAAAGAAGGTGATTCCAGCCATCAGGGAGTATGCAGGGTTTTATGCACCAATAGATTGTAATTATAAGGACCCGTGGCAGAAAAAGAATCCAAATTAGAGGTGTTGTGGAGCTTGGTGGCCTGTCTTAGGCATGATAAAAGAGTGAAAAAGAGGGAACTTCTAGGCATAACCATACCTCTTCTTGAGAAAAATCCTGAAAGTCTCTGGAGGATTTTATATCAAATAAGGGCTAAATTTATTATTATTATTATTTTTTACAGGCAGAGTGGACAGTGAGAGAGACAGAGAGAAAGGTCTTCCTTTGCCGTTGGTTCACCTCCAATGGCCACCGTGGCCAGCGCGCTGCGGCTGGCGTACCGCGCTGATCCGATGGCAGGAGCCAGGTACTTCTGGTCTCCCTGATTTGTTCTTCTGATTTGCCAGTTAAAGTCTTTGAGGGGTATTGGCAGAGGTGCTCTAAGATACTGTCATAGGAGAGCTCTGCTTTGTTTGACATGTGGGGTCCTTTACTCTTGTGAAAAGCTACTTGAGGTCACCTAGTGGTGCCCATTGTAGGCATGCAGTCCCGGGTTGTCAGATGAGTGGATGCTTTGTCTTAGTGGTGGAGGGGCAGGCTTGAGTCGGGATAGGTGAATCCAGTCCCAGTAGTTTGGCCACTGTGGGCGTGGCTAGGATAAGATGATAGGAGCACCTCAGTCGGATTGAAGAGGGTGGACCTGGTTTGGGAGTTTCTTTACCTAGACCCAGTCCCCAGATTCCAGTAGGGCAACAGGAATATACATTTTGGTCTGTGGTCTAGTGAGGAATTTATCGGTGTGATCTCACAGGAGGTGCCATGTAAGGCAAAAGGCCAGGAGGTAGTCTCCCACTGGTGCAGTGGTTGGAGGGCGAAGGTTGCCCTGGAGGAAGAATCTGCCACACATGAGCTCAAAAGGGCTAAGGTAGAAGGGAACTTGGGGTTGTTCTTAAAGTTGAGCCAGGGCATTGGGAAGAAGGGAAGCCTAGTCTTGTCCTATCTCAAGGGAGAGTTGTTTAGTTGAAGTTTAAGAGAAGAATGAGCCTTTTCAGTTTTCACTGAGGACCGGGGTCTGTGAGGGGTATGAAATCTCCATAGACACTAAGGGAAGCAGAGATTTGTTGGGTGACCTGGGAGACAAAAGCTGAGCCATGGTCCAGTTGGGTGGAACTTGGTAGGCTGAAATGGGGGAATGATCTGTTGGAAAAGGGCAGTGAAAACATCAGAGGCCTTTTCAGCTTTGCCCAGAATAACCTCTAATCGTTCAGTGAAGGTGTCTCAGAAGGTCAGCAAGTGTTTGTAAGATCTGAACTTGGGTAAATATGTAAAGTCAGTCTGCCACTCCTATCTGGGGTTTCCCTATGCCTGATGAGAGGGTAGGGAAGGTGAGAGGTCAGAGGTAGGGGCACTGAGGGTTGGAAACCTGACAAGTATGGCATGCCCGAGTAACCTTGGTTAAGGAACTTAAACAAGTGAGGATAGGCGATCCTTGGTTGAAGATATTTTAGATGTAGGTGGTGCCCAATATGTAGGGCACTGTGTAAATAGGTCAGGATGGTTTCCACCCATTGATTGGGAGAAAGAGGCAGCCCTTGGAGGTCAGCTAAGGACCTTCTTTAACGACTCCTTTTGTGAGGAGATAGGCATACTTGGGAGGGTTTGTTTTTGGGTTCAAGATGTGGAATAGCTAACTAATAGTTGGCGTTGAGGTGAGGGCCAAAAAGGTAGCCATTCTGGTTTCTGCTGTTTACTGTTTCTCAAGACCATCTACCTTCTGATGATAGAAGTAGTGGATGATGGCAACCCATTTAGGGAGGAGGATGACCTGGATCAGATCAAGAATCACAGGTGCGTGGGCGATTGGGGAGTACCAAGGGGTGGTAAGATAGCCCCACTCTGCCCAGATGGCAGCATGGGGATGCGTGATGTGGTGAAAGGTATGCTTAGACTCGGTGTAAGTGTTGACATAAGCCCCTGAGGCCAATATGAGGGCCGGAGTAAGTACAGTGAGTTTGACTTTTTGGGTTTAAGTGTGTGGGGAGAGATGGATGACCTCATGCGCCAGAGACCCCAACAATAGAGATGGAAGACTTGGAGAGAGGTCTTGGAAATTCAGGCTCTAGGAAGTAGGTGCTCCCTTCTAAGTCAATAGGATGATGCTGTTGGGGCTGGCACTGTGCTGTAGCAGGCTAAGCCTCTGCCTGCCATGCCAGCACCCAATATGGGTGCTGGTTCATGTCCTGGCTGCTCCTCTTCCAATCTAGCTCTCTGTTTATGGCCTGGGAAAGCAGTGGAAGATGGCCAAAGCATTTGGGCCCTTGCACTCACATGGGAGACCTGGGAGAAGCTACTGGTTCCTGGCCTTGGATTGGCTCAGCTCTGGCCATTACAGCCATATTGAGAGTGAATCAGTGGATGGAAGACCTTTCTCTCTGTCTCTCCCTCTGTCTGTCTGTAATTCTACCTCTCAAAATAAATAAAAAGGGGCTTGCACTGTGGCGTAGTGGGTGAAGCTACTGCCTGCAGTGCCAGCATCCCATATGGGTGCCAGCTCATGTCCCAGCTGCTCCACTTCTGATCCAGCTGTCTGCCATGGCCTGGGAAAGCAGTGGAGGGTGACCTGATTCCTTGAGCCCCTGCACCCGCATGGGAGACCTGGAAGAAGCTCCTGGCTCCTGATCGGTGCAGCTCTGGCTATTGTGGCCAACTGGAGAGTGAACCAGTGGATGGAGGACTTTCTCTCTCTCTCTTTCTGTCTCTTCTTCTCTATGTATCTCTGATTTTCAAATAAATAATTAATTTAAAAAACTAAATAAGTAAATAAGTCTTTAAAAAAAAAAGAAATGACACGGTCTTAACCATAACTGAGAGAGTTACCCAGAGCTCTGTCAACTGAAGGGTGGAGACGGAGGCCTTTGGAAGCACTGGGCTTCTTCAGTCTTTGCCAGGTAGTCCCAGAGGCCCAGCTCCAGATCAGCTGAGTCCATGGCAGGTTTCTGGGTCAAGGCCCAGAAAGTGATGCCCAACCAACTTGAAGGGCCATTGGGTATTCAGACTTCCCATGGCCAACCTGGCAGCAATTAGGATGTGGTCCAGGAGGAGGCCACAGCTAGTGCAGGACTTACTCTACTGTCCGGGCTGTCTGCACTTGAAATGGTTGCAGGGGAGGGGTGGATTTTGTCCCTCCTGATGGCCCCTGGGGGAACTTCTTTCTTTTGGGAGGAAGGGCAAAAGAGACAGCCAAGAGGAAAAGTTGGAAGGCTGGGAGCTGCACTTGGGCCTGTTTATTTTTTTCAATGTTGTTTTTCTATCTTCATTCCCTGTCTCTTGTTGAAGATCCTAAAAGCCATATGGAGGAGCTCTGGGGGGATTTGGGGTCTGCCCTTAAATTTCTAAAGCTTGTGGTTGATGTCTGGCACTGAGAGATGAAATGTATTATTTGTCAGAGGGATACCCTTAGGGGAGTCAAGGAGAAGGTGGAAAGAGTGGAAGAGAGGCGAGAGAGGAAGAGGGCAGGATTTTCATCAAGCCCCTGGGTGACTGACTTCAGTTTATTGTAATTGCCAGGTTTATGGATGGGGATTTAAGGCCCCCAAGAAGGCAAGCCAGCATACAGATGCTTCGAAGATGATCAGGGGAGTGAAGTTGGTAGTCCCAGTTAGCTTCTTGGTGGGGGATGGCATCAGTCTGTATTGATGTCATTGGAGGTCCTGTATATTAAGGTCATCTGTGAACTTTTGGCTTACTTCTCAAATTTACTTGTGCTTGTCAGAGGTAGTACAGGTGGAAAAAATAACAGATACTTTGCCAAGTCAACTCATAAGAAAAAGTACTCAAATTCCTTTAAAAAGAAAGATTTATTTATTTACTTTGAAAGAGTTACACAGAGAGAGAAGGAGAGGCAGAGAGAGAGAGAGAGAGAGAGGTCTTCCATCCAATGGTTCACTCCT